TTCAGGATTGTCAGTTTTGTGGAAACCCGTAACTGAACACATGTGCTCTGCTTTGCAATATGGGACAGACTGAGAAACTGCTTCCAAACCCAAGATATTCAGCCTGCAAAAATTCACTTTCCACCCACACAGACAAATTCAGCACAGGTTGGATTTGAGGTTCCAACAATAAAATACTAGACTTTTTAGAGCTCATTGTTTATCTGATTGCTTTTTATCGGCTTACATGGGATGTCTATTCTTAACAACCGATCAAAAGGAAGTTAAAATCACTTCCTTGGACAACCCCCCCAAATCAACTTTCTAGACACGTATGCAGGAAAGCTCAACCTTCTCAACAGAAAAAATAAATTATTTTTTCTAAATAAATCTGTGACATTTAAAATAAACACAGTGGGATGCTCTACAGTTATAAGAAAACATCCCCCTTTAGAATTCCTAATTTTGAATGGTACTGGGTGTTTAAAGTGACTCACAGATCTGAGGTTTGGTTTTATTTCATCTTAGGCCAGAACCAAGTCAGTGTGAAACCAAGTCATCTGACATGGCTGGGAAGGATCCTTAGTTCACAAATCCAGACTGTTCTAGGATATTTAACATCTACCACTCAATGTGTCATTGGTAGAATTTCCCAGTCAACCTGACAGATTTTTTTGATACCCACTAAGAGGCGTTAATGAACAAGTCAGGCACAATCCCTATGTTTGCGAACACATACACTGTAATACAGAGAGAGACAGAGAAGTAAGATCAATGCAGATGGTGATGGGCCATAAAGAGGCTAAAGCAGTGAAGTCACGGGGAGTGAGATGAGGCTAATTCAGACCCAGCAGATAGAGATGTGTATGCTATGGCCTGAGAGCCAAAAAGAGCCAGCACTGGGAGATTTGGAGAAGAATACTCCAGACTGAAGAAACAGCACATGCAAAGTGTCTGAGGCCGGAACAAGCTTGGCATGTTCCAGAGTGTCAGTGTATCTAGGGCTGGTAAGGGAAGGACAGGGTGGTGTGAGATGTAGCCACAGGCCAGATTATGGGATGTCCGTACCCAGCCTGGCTGAAAGAGAATCCTCCTGAAACCTGAGATGGAAAGCCAGGGGAGGATGAACTGAAAGCGGGGAATGACATCATCTGGTTGAGGCTTTCAAAGGCTTACTCTTCGATGTGGATAGACCTGGAGGAGATTATACTGAGCAAAATTAAGTCATATGTGGAATACAGAGAAACAAACAAAGGAGCAGACAAAGCCACACCAAAACAAACTCTAAAAATCTAAAATGTAGAATTGAGCCTACTAGAATGGGGAGGTCAGGAGAGTAGCAAAGCATGGAGGGGGCCAACAGAGAACAATGGGCACTGTGGAGGGTGTGGTAGATGTGGTGACATATGGCTGGAGAAGTGCGATTCTATACCACTGGGTCATACAGGACATAGACAGTTTCCGCAATAAAAAATACAATTAAAAAATGTTTGAGGGCCCTCCCTGGTGGCACAACAGGCTAAAATGCAGCACTATGAAAGTGTCTGCAGCCACTGCAGCACGAGTTCGATCCCCAGCCAGGGAGCTGACCCACATGGCGCAGCAGACCCCTCCCATCCTGCCCACTGCTCCCCTCAGCAGTGTATTTCAGTACATCTGCCTGTTCTGCTCCCCACTCTGTCTCTGCAAATCCTCTCATCCCCCCTCACACCTCTAGACTGTACCCCAATTCTTGTATGCATAAATAAATAAATCTTTAAAAAAAATTTTTTTGAAAGGCTCACTATTTTTGGGTAGCGTGGAGCAGGCATGGGAATGAGAACAGAAACAGGAAGCAGTGGGATTTATAGACAGGTACAAGTCACAGCCCATTAGCAATTACAGCTCCATGTTCTCAAATTTTTCCGTTATTCGCCTCTTTGCACTCACAGGCCTCTGGGCGCTCCCAGAAACTAGGCTCCCCTTGAGGGTACAGCTTCCTGCAGCCCCTCAGTGGCTGGCTGCTCGCTCCCTTGCCTTAGGTACCCTGTTTGTGTCTTACTGCCTCTTCTGGGTGATTCTTCCCTCACTCCAACTCTGTCCCCTGAACTTGCCCCAGGTTTGAAGCTCATGCTTCACGTCCACAGCCCACACCAACCCACATCCCTTAACAAGTGAATGTGCAGACTCCCACCTTCGCCCAGTTCCTTCCTGTCTTAAATATTTAGCTCCTCACTCTCTCTAACACTGTCCCCATCATCATTTTTGGTGACAGTCACAGCTGATCCATCTAATTCCTTGCCACCTCCTGTCTGTCATTGATATCACCCTCTCCCCAGTGTTACAAATGGACCCCAGGCTTTGTCATCACAGTGACCCCCATCATCTCCACCTCTTCAATTTCAACCTCCCCACAAAACCCAAGCACTACCCTTTTCCAGTTCCCCAGCCCCAGCAAGTCTTAATCCCAAGTGGGACCTCCCGTGCACAGATCCAGACACCTTTTCACATCCCTCGCTCCCTCGTGCCCTCACGTCCCCCGAGTTCACTTCAAGCCTACACTCAGGGCTGCTTGCAGGTGTCACTATCCAGCTCAGCATCTGAGCCTGCAGGAGGCCTCAGTGCCCTGACCCTTGTTTCCTGCTTTGCTGTGTTTCCCGGCAAAGCCCAGACTCTCCTCCTGCCCACCACTACACCAGCAAAGCCCACCATGGTTTCCACAAGCCAAGCCGCACTGACCGGCCTTGCTTCCGAGGTCAGACCACCCATCCTGAGGGGGCCCGCGTGGTGCAAAGCCATCATCCTGTTAGTGCCCATTTCCATGCTCTCCCTGACTGTTTCATACTTTCTCTCCCTTTTTTCTTCATCCTCGCAGGGGCTTCCCCCGCCACCCCTCACGCTCATTAGTCCCAGTGACAGAAGCACTGGGAAAAGCTACTGAACATCTTGCCACCAACTCCCTGCTTCTGGGCCTGCCTTCTTCACCTGCCTGCCATCACCAGGGACCAGCTGCCCTCCACAGCCAGGGCTGGCTTCGCCATACTACGGGCACACTAGCTCAGTTTCTTTCATCTGCTGAATGATATATCTCCCCACTCTGCCTTTCTTCTCCTGCATCATCAGTTTCTCTCTCTTTACTGGAACTTTCCCAACAGTCTCCAAGACACTATTATTTCATGTGTCTCCAAAACAACAAAGCTGCCTGGATTCCACTTTCTCCTTCAATGTCTGCTCCTTTTCTGTCTTTCTCAGCAAAGCGCCTCTAAAGTCTTGTCTCTTTTCTCTTGCAGTGTTAGCACCCTTCCCAGAGAGGACCTGCTCACAGCCCCCGATCCTCATTCGGGTCTGGCGGATCAGTTCCCCTCTTCCAGAGCTTGACCTCTCTGCACTATCTGGCCAGGGGAACACTTGCTCCTTCACCCCTTGGCATCCAGAAGAGCACCCTCGTGGGGTTTTCTGCAGTCCTGTCTCTTTCCTTTCCAACTTTCCCCCTTTCACCTCCTTGATCCACAGACACTGCTTAGTTCTGCAGAAACTTCTCTCGCCAGGGTACATGACTCCGTCCCTCATCTGGTCTTGTGACTTCTTTACATACCATTTGACAACTAGTAACTGAAGTTCACACCACCTGCCTGACACGTCCTATGAATTCCAGACCTTGCACTTAGCCAACCCCAGCTAAGTGTGGCCACTTCGTCACAGCCATCACTGTCACCACCACCATCGCGGAGTTAACACCTGCATGAGCTCTACCCACACAGGAATTTCACAGAAATGAAGGGGGGGTCGGCAAGATGAGGCAGATCAGCTAAGTTGGGTGTGCTGCCATGAAATGCAGTTTGTGATCAGTTAATTTCTTAAACTCTAGTCTCGGGCAAGCGACAAGAAGAAAAACGTTCCTACCCAATTACAATTATTCATGAGAATTTTCCTGGCCCTGCTCCTTTTGTCTGCCAGTGATTCTGACGGAAACAGCCAAGCGCCCGGTAAGGAAACTCAGCAAAAGGCAGGGCAATTATGCGTCTTGCTGCATCTCAGCTTTTGACTTCCTCCTTGAACTCTTAATTAATTCCAACCCCATATTTTTAGTTTGTTTCCCCGAACCTCTTGCTTGTACGCATTTCCCCTTCTCTTATCATTTATCTGGGTTTTCTCCCACAGAAGCTCCCAATTCTCTTGCAGGGGGGGGGGGGGGGAGCCAAGGGGGGTGCTTTTCTGTCCCCAGACTGTCCCTCGCTCAGCCGTCAGCTTCTCTGCACCTGCTCTATTCCTTCTTATCCTTTTTCACCTTTCAAAACTGAAAGCACCAAACTGACAGACACTGTTATGGTGGTTTTTCCCCTTGCGTGAGCTGCAGCTTGGCTCTCTCCCCCTTGCTTCTATAGCGAGAGCCTGAGTACTGGGTTGCCATGGCAACAGCGAATCCAACCAGGCCGGTCCCAGCCACGCTAGCTAGGAGCTGCCATGGCGAGGAAGCCGCTGCAAGTCGCCCCTGAGCCTGGCTGGGTCGTGAACATCGTAATTCAAGAGCAGATTCTGCCGCGAGACTGAGATTGTACATCAGGCCCACAGCTGCACGCGGCATTTGGAGACAACACCATCCATAACGGCTTCCACAGGGCCCGCAGCACACGGAGCACCACTAGGACCCAACTGTAAATTTTCAAACATCCTCTAGTCTTTCATCTTCTGGGAGGAACGCTGTGGAAAGTGCCAGCAAGTCTGGGGGCTCCCGCCTACTCTCCTGGGGCCGCCCCGACCAGCCCTGCGTGCTGGGGGAACCCCCAGTGGTCTGAGCCCCGGGACTTAGTAGCTCTGACGCGGCTGGGAACGTCTCAGAAAATTAATTAGGGTTACACAGTGGTATTTCAGTCGGCGAGGAGATTGGCTCCCCCGGGGTCATTGAAACGGATGGTTTTAAGTGGGGCAACAAGTGTTCCGCCCGCCTACAGCCGCATGACTTGTGTGTGTGTGTGTGTGTGTGTGTGTGTGTGCGCGTGCGTGTGAGCATGTGAGTCCGTGAGAACGAATTCAGGAAATACCTTTGCTGCGAGTGGCACCAACCGCAATAAGGGTCCTCGGCTCTTAGACAGGCAGAGCAGGTTTGATGTTTACTGCAATCGGCAACCGGAATTCTCCTCACCTAAAAATAAAGACGCGGCAGCAGTCAGAGTCGGAGCCTCCCTAGAAAAAGTGGCAATATCTCACCCGATGAAGGGGCAGAGGAGCACACTTTTCAACGCAAACTCTGTGTGTAGTGACTTGGGCAGAGGTGTGTGTGTATGTCCAGGGGGCTGGGCGGGTATCAACTGGAGGGGGGCTTTGGAAAGTGCAGATTCCCAGGCCTGGGTTGCTGACCAGAGGTTCTGGGGCCTGGCCTAAGATTCTGTATTTTAAATTCACCTCTCAGGGAAGTCCATTTGCACTGAATTATTCCCAAAGGGAATGGTGGGATCAGGTCCACAGCCAGTGAGTGTGTGGTCTTGGTGCTTTGCAAGTGAGTTTCTGGGGAGAGCAAAAGATTCTCAGCCAGGACTGCAGTCACCAGGCTGGCCCTGGAGGCAGCTATGAGGAACACCCGGCCACCCCCCTACGCCCCATCCCCCACCCCAGGGCAGCTCATGACCTCAGCTCCTGGCTGCTTGCTCACACCCCTCCTCTGGACTTCAAGATAAAAGAAACAAGGGATGGTTTCAAATCAACCCCTGTCCCTACAGCCACCTCTTCCAGCTGTCAGGAAACAGCAGCCCACAGAGTGGGCACCACGCTGGGCAGAGCCAGGCATCCGAGGCTGGCAGAGCCCAGAGGCAGGGGGTGGGAGGCAGGAAGGACCTGGGCATCGTGTGGTTTATTTTCTGCAGGCAAAACCCCATAGCATGTAGTGAGGAGACGTGAACTCATTAAGTCAAGAAATTGCACAAGCCAAACATATCAGTAGCTTCTCAAAAAAGACTAAAGAAATGAGAAGTTCTAGGAGAGATTTGTGGGGAGAAATGGGGCTATCCTGCAGAACAGCCTTCAACTCCAGGACCTCAAGGAGGACAAACTCGCCCTACCATTTCCTAGGCCACGGGGCTGCTGATAGCTGGTGGACAGACCGTGGGCCTCAGGCAGAACTGGCCTCAGGCAGAATTCACTGGAATGTGGGCATATCCTCCCAGCTCACAAAACACCTTTTCACTGCTAGAGGATTTTCATGAATATCATAATCTCTCAAACTCTGTTTTCTCATCTATGAAAGGCTGATAGTGCTGCTCACTTCACGGGATTATTATGAACACCGTCTGGCACACACTAAATACTCAATAAATGTGGGCTATTGCTACTATGCGAGAAGAGAGTTCCACGGTCCAACGAACATGTGAAAAGTTACACTGAAAAAGCGAAATAGGTTGCTTAGCACAAGGCTTCCAGGAGCCCCTGAATCTGATGAGTGCTCGGATACTCCTGCAGGGGTACAGAAAGCAGCATCTGCTCCTCAGCACTCTTGCTCAGAATATTTAGTGGAGTCTAAGTCTCTAGAACATTCTGGAACTATTATAGAACATACTTAAGCACGTAAGTTTGCAAAAAGAGAAAGACTATGAAAGTTAAATTGGATCAGCTTCTCTAACTTAACACACAATAGCAACTCTCCCAGTGCAGGGCATGTCTCTCCACAGTTATTTTTAATGGCCACATACTCTCTATGGAGGTACAAGTTTGGCTTATTACTACTGTCTTAGTTTTTGTCTCCCCAAGGGTCTCACTGGCTCAACCAGTGTCTTGCAAATAGGATTGCAAGCAATAAACCTCTATGAAGAATGTCAGAATAATCAGCTCAAAGGCCCAGGGGGGGACTCTTCCCAGGACTCCAGGTTTTGAATGTCTAAGGACTCAAACTCCTTAATCTTCCAGAAAATGAGGACCGGTCATCTACTAGTTCTCAATCTACAGTCTTGGATTCTAGGGAAGGTAGTAATGAAGATTTACAAGCTATTTGCAATGGATCAAGAAACTAAATGGAAAAACATGCCCAGATTAAGCAAGACTTTAAGGGCCTTTGCTTTGGGTTGGAATTTTATCAGCTCTGTGTGGTAGCACAGTCTGTCCTCTGACTGGCAGTTTTGAGATGTCCTTGACAACTACAGCCTGATAATGGGAATTGTTACTTAATATATGCAGTTTATTGAGTAAACTGCACAAATTTATCAAATAGGGGAATGTTCTGGAGAAAAAACATAATGTGTTTTAATTGTTGGCCAACTGGTCAAGAAGAAGATTCTATGTTAATGAAGAACTGGCTTACAAAGCTGTGAGCTCCAGATGTGGCCATCTCAACATGGTCGTTCTGATACAATGGACATTCCAACAAGCAAAAGAGTAACATAGCCTTTTCAGGAACACTGGAAATTACAAAGCACTTGCATACCCACCCTGTGACTTTAGCCACAGATGTAGATAGATGGCGTGTTATTCTCCTTAGAATGACTGAGAGGAAGAGTGACAAGTGTGGGAAGGCAGAGCATCTGTTACATCCACTATAGCATTACGTGTATCTCAAAGATCTTTGTGCTTTGTAGGTTTGACAGTCACAGGTCAAAACCACTGTGCTAGGATGGCCTGCTTGGTTTTCACAAATTGGGATTCTGATCTCCTGACAGTTTCAGCCTGCTAACCTGTACCTATCTCCTGAAGCAAGTTATTTAACCTCTTCTGGGTCGCAAGGTAATTTTATCTCACTAAATTAACATATTTCATTAAGATTGCTTATTATATGTTTGTGTATACAACTCTCTGCATCTAGGAAGACCATACTTAGAATAGTAAGTAGGACATAACAGGGGCTTCATGAAATTTATTTGCTATCACCCCTTCCCTGGGTGAAAATACTTGGCAAAATGAAGCAAATGTAAAAAGACAACTTTATTATTTCAGCTGGAGAATGTAAGAACAACAACTCTTAACAGGCTGGTAAGTTGAGAGAGGGGGTGAGAACCAGTTTGTTGGGTTCATGAATGTGGATGTGACAGCGGTCTGATATTAACCCCCAACTGCAAAGGCAGTCCCACGGGGATGTACAAATACATCTAGCTGCTCAGTGCCCACATAATAAATGTGTAAATTCAGTTACCATGCTGATTATGTACCTATTTGCCAGCACACCCTCCTCTGAAAATGGTGGCATTAAAAATATAGCCAATAATAAAATTGTCTAAATAGGTGATATTTCTTACTTACTGACAGTAAGGTTTTTAATTCTATGCCTGTGAGCTCCTGCAGGTCTTCTCAAAGCTCGCAGCAGTGCTTCATCTCAGTAGTTTGAAGGAATAGCTTTGCCACTAGATAATGACATCAATGAATTTTTATTCATAAATCAGAAGCAATAACTAGTACTCTACTTACCTCTTTCCCAGCTGTTAGGTAGATGTACATATTATTGGGAACAAGTTTGTAGAAAACAGGTGTTTCTTCTTTAATTTCATAGATAATCTCTGGACAATTTGCATTCAAATTCTCATCAAGAATAACCTGTTTATTTTCAAAAGAAGAAATATCATGTATATTATATACTTTGAATAGCAGGGGAGCAAAACTTGTACCTTAATTCTAAAACCATGCCTTTTCTTACTCTGCATTACACAAACTGGATAAGGTACCATGTTTCTTAATCATCCTCCCATGGCTTAATCTCCAACAAGACTGGCGGTAATCATAACTCTTTCTGCGTTTGTAGGGGACAAAGTCATAGACACACACACAGCCACTCTGCAGTACTGGGACTGAATCCTCTTATGTGCGAGCTTATGGCCCACATTATTATCTTATCATGGGTGACCTTAAAACTGAAGGTGGTGGCCCTACTGATGTCTGCAGGGGTAACGTTGATTTTCCTACATGAGTCTACATAGTTATGCATTTTAAAATAACTGGACAACTCAGGCCTAAACAAGTAGATGGGTTTATACATAAAATAAAAGCAAATGTGACTTTGAAATCATACACACCCGAGTTTCACTTGTGTTCCATCAATAAACATCTGCTGAATGTCCATTGTGTTTGAAAAACTGCAATGAACAAAATGGGGGTGGGGTAGAGAAGAATCTTGCCCTTGTAGAACTTAAATGTGTGTGTGTGTTGGGGCATGGTGGCAGACAATAAAAGTTCTAAAATAAAGTAGAAGGTGATACTAGTCAAAACAGAGTAGGGAAAGGAGATGGAGATGCAGGTTCAGGGTTTGTCTCCTTGGAATGTTAACATTTACTTAGGGACTTGCAGAAGCTGATGGAGTGAGTCATTTGGATGCTCTTAGAGGTGGGCCTGGTGCAAAGGCCCTGACGTCAGAGGCAGCCAGGATGGCTTGCGCACAGTGAAAGGAGTGGGCCGAGAGCGGATGGAGAGGGTAACACAGGTTCTTGGAAGTCTGTGTGAAGATGCTGCCTCTTATTCTAGGTGACAAGGGATGCTCTCGCTAGGCTTTCAGCAGATGGGTGACACTTGAGAGGGTGCGGGTTCAAGCATAGGTATGAAGACCAGTCAGGAGATCTCTGCCACAACCCTGGGGTAACAGAATGTCAGCTTGAGCTTATGTTTGCTTCTTGCCTCTACTCGTTCAGTTGCTGTGTTACTCTGAACTAGTGACTGACTTCACCTCCTGGACTTCAATTTTCTCCTTCACTAACATGGGGCTAACAGCCTGATTCTTAAACACCATTGCTGTAATAAGGATCAAATGAGAATTATAAAGCATGCTGAACACATAATCAAAACTTACTAAGACTCCATTATCAGGTTGCAAATTCCTTTTGGGTAGGGACCACATGGTAATCTTCTCTGTAGCTGGACATTGGTCCAATCAGAAACTTTCAAAGTGAAGGTATTCAATATTTTGTCATTTTAATCACATCCAGATATAAAATCCAGACTCATATTTCTACCACTGTGGACACTGGTAGCATTGGGCACATGATCCAAAAAGCAAAAAGATAGCACCTAATAGTCTTCTCAGTCAATCTGCATTCAGGTATCAACCCATATACCCCCATGGCTGCTACCTATTTGCCGTTTAACAGAAGATTCCTCGTCAATTTGCCAGGAGTTAACCTGGGCCCGAGTCTGGCTGGATCCTGTTATGGCGATTTCCTTTATCTGCACTGAGTCAAACTCAGTGTTCCCACAGAGCCTGCTCATTAAATTCAGTAGTGAGCATCTCTGTAAAAGTCAGTCTCACTAATTAAATATATTAAATGTAACTTTTTGAAAAGGGAACAGAAGCATTTAGGTCCTAAGGGAAGTGGAAAAGGTCTGTGGCTCAAGTCATTTAAAAATTACTATAGCTGCACCATCGAGCATGGTAGCTACTGGCCATATATAGCTACCTACATTTAAGTTACAAATTCAGTTCCTCAGTCACCCCAGCCACATTTCAGTGATCACTAGCCACACAGAGGTAGTGGTTCACATTGAGAGAACACATATGGAACATTTCCATCATCATGGAATGTTCTGGTGGACAACAGCAAAGTATGAGCAAAGGAAGACATCAGGCAGGCATCAGCTGAATGTAGACTTGCCAGGAACTTGTCTTCCCACTGCTAATCCATATTCTTTATTAATTGACTTAGATGCACACAGTGAATCCAGTTCTAAAAAGTAATTGTATGGTGGAAGAGAGAGAGGAAGACAATTAGAAAAAAATGTGATAGAAAAATTCCCAAGTGAGACTCATGAGAGAAAAGCTGTTCCTCAGCTCTCTTGAGGAACTCATCACATTCAAGGCATCCCTTGGCACAACCATCTCACAGACTTGCCAATAAAGCTGATCCCCAATCAGATCAAAGCCATCGAGCTAACTTCCACTTAGCATTGGGAAACAGAACAGTGGAACAAAGGAAATGGCACCCTAAGAAAGCAAACAGCTAGAGCCACAATGGGTGGCTCCTTTTCCTCAGTAAGTCAATGACTGTGTCGAAGGAGGGTCACTCCAGATCGGGACAGAACCACATGTGATTTCAGGACCTTGTCTAGAAACCAAGTTGAACAGAAACAATTTTAAAAAGATGTGCTGGGCCCTCCCTGCATGGTGGCACAGTGGGTTAAAGCACAGCACTAAGGAGCTAAAGCCACTGTAGCATGAGTTCAATCCCAGTCTGCCCCGGAGGTGACCACATGGTGTGGCAGACCTCTCCTGACCCGCCCGCTGCTCCCCTCAGCAGTGTACTTCATCGATCTGCCTGTTCTGCTCCCCACTCTGTGTGTGGTGAATCCTCTCACCGCCCCTGCACCTCTGGCCTGTACCCCAGTTCTGTGTGCATAAATAATTTTTTTAAAAGGTATGTTTCAGCCATTCAGGAAAATTTAATGCAGTCTGGAGTCAAAATCAGATAGCTCTTAAGAATTACTGGTAATTGTTAATTATGATAATAGCATTGTGGCTGTAGTTATTTAAGAAAATGATCATAGTTTTTTAAGAAATAGATGATAAAATACATAGGGGTGAAATGACTATGTCCAAGAGTTGCTTTGAAAGAAAATAAGCTAATATAAACATAATTTACAAAACACCACTCATTTATTTTAAGCAAGGCATTGTATGGAAGTTTTTAGTGGGGCTTATTTTGTTATTTTTGGACCATGGTTGATGCAGACAGACAGGAGCTAAAAAGGTCTAGTTTGGGGCAACACTGACTTACAAGGTATCCTGATACCTTGGATATAGCACCAGTATTTTCTCTAGAACTTGGAGTTATGGAAGAAGTGCCTTTCTTGCCCTTTAAAAAAAAAAAAAAGCAAACCAAGATGTACAAGATACTAGGTACCAGGGTTTGCCAACCAATTTCCTAAATTAACTACCTGGAATGGCCAAGCCTAAAACTTGTCCTGGTTACTATAGATACTGTTCTAACTGGTATGTTTCACTGAAGGGGGAAAGAAGACTTCTCTGAGGGTAATTTGGGATTATCTATCAAAAGTATAAAGCATATACCGTGAGCCCCTGAAGTCCTTTATATATGTGAAATAATACACATACATGGATAACATGGGTATTTGTTATAGCATCATGTGGTATAAACATAAGATTGAAAAAAACCTAAATGTCCCAGATTAGGGAACCATAGCACAAACAATATAACCCAGTTATTCCATTCCTAGGAATTTACCCAAAGAACACAAAAACACAATTTGAAAGGAAACCTGCACCACAATGTTTACTATAGCACTATTTCCAATAGCCAAGCTATGGAAACAAACTAAATGCCCCCAAAGAGAGGAATGAATCAAGAAGATGTTGTATTCCATTGTGTATAACAATGGAATACTACTCAGTAACCAAAGAAGATAAACTCATGTCATTTGTTGCAACATGAATGAAGCTGGAAGGCTGATGCTAAACGAAGTAAGTCAGAAAAAGATAAATATCAAATGGTTTCAGTTACATGTGAAATACAGAGAAACCAAACAAAGGCAAAACTTGAAAGCATACTGGAGATGGAAAGCATCTGGGAGGGAAGAGGAGGGACAAAGACAGGGGGTGGGGTGGGGGGCAGGGAGAGTGGGGAGTGTAGGGAAGCACTAGGGAATATGGTGGTGGGTTATGGGTGTTTTGGTGTTGAGAGAAACAGAGAGCACACCTGGGGAGAGAAATCATATACTGTCCAAAATTAACAATGTTAAAAAAAAAAAAAGGTACTACATTTAAAAATTTAAAACAAGGACAAAATAATCCCAAAATACCCTCACCAAAAAAAGAAGCACAAGCAAGGAAATACTGTTTAGTCATAAGGATAAATAGAAAACTCCTTATATATTGAAATTCATAAGGAGCCACACAAAGCTCTCTATAGAGAAAGTTCTACTGATTTAAAGGGGGAAGTAGGAAGGTATTATACTCCCAGACTTCAAACAATACTACAAAGCCATTATAATAAAAACAGCATGGTATTGGAACAGAAACACACACAGACCAATGGATATGAATTGAAAACCCAGAAACAAAACCACACATATATAGTCAACTAACCTATGAGAAAGGAGAAAAGAATATACACTGGAACAAGGAAGTCTCTTCTCTAAATAGCTGGGAAAACTGGACAGCAGCATGCAAAAGAATGAAACTAAGGCACCATTTCACCCCATATACAAAAATCAACTTAAAATGGAGAAACAAATTGAATGTCAGACCTGACACTATAAAATATATAGAAGAAAATACAGGCAAAGCACTCCATGACATAAGCCTCAGAAACATCTTTGAAGATTCTTCTCCAGTAGCAAGGAAAACAAAGATGATGATAAACAGCTGGGACTATATCAAACTAAAAAGCTTCTTTACAGCAGAGAGACAATAATCAAAATGAAGAGACATCCTACTGAATGGGAGAAACTATTTGCGCATCATATGACAAATAAGGGACTGATGAAAGATCTACAAAGAGCTTACACAACTCAAGAAGAACAAAGCAAACAACCCAATCAAAAAAATGGGCAGAAAAACTAAAAAGACTTCTCCAAAGAAGAAATGTAAATGGCCA